CCCTAGGAGATGCATGGATGAGCAGGCTTATTCTCCTTGTGGGGTGTTCCCCATGCATGACTGATGTTGAGATTAATATCCTTGACTGATTTCCTGCTCCGCAGTGAAGAGAGGAGTAGGCCTATCAGAGCACAGCCACCCACCTCAGGAGTCTATTGATTTTCGCACCATTCTGACAAACAGAAACCTCCTGGACCAACAAAATACTGTCTTACTGTCCATTTAGATGCCACCTCTTCAGGTCTACATCAGATTTTTTTTAAATAACTCTGTTTGTCCTTTGTGTGTTTTATCAAAATTGAGTCTGCTGGTGTTCATTGCTAACCGTATCCACTTAAGAATATGGGAATGAATAAAATATACACAAATTTCACTGATTTGAACTTTTACCTTTTCCTTTTTTTTATTTAATAGCTTCTTCTGTAGCAGTTCTTTCTTCCTGCAGCCCACATTATATAATGATTAAATTAATATTTAATAAACTATAAACTATATAACTTAACAGGTTAGCAGTGGCTTCCTCCCGCCGTCCAAAGACATGCAGGCTAGGTTAATTGGTGACTCTAAATTGCCCCTAGGTGTGAGTCGTTGTTTGTATATGTGTTGGCCCTGTGGTGGAATGGTGGCCTGTCCAGGGTGAACCCCGCCTTTCGCCTGATGTCACCTGGGATTGGCTCCAGCCCCCCACCGACCTTGTACACAGGAAAGCAGTTGACAATGGATGGAGGTAAGCAGTGAAGAAAACCAACCAAAGCAATAATAAGAAGCATAATTTAAAAAAAATCTTAATCATGATGAACATTTACTTACCTTGATTCAGAAGAATCAAGGTAAGTGATTTACTTGTCTTGATTCATGTTCCAAATGTGTTCTGGCAGCTGCACAGTGTTGACTTCTCTTCTGTATTTGCAATGTGAAAATGATACTGACTATGAAAATAAAATGCTGTTTGCAATCATATAAGTGCACATTAAACAGCTAAAGAGCTAGAACCATATCACCATTAGGGCTGTATTCAAGAAGGTTTGGATTTGCAATGAAGTGGTGCTTTTTCAAATATCCTCCAACAAGCCTCATGTGGAATGAATGCTGTAATCCACATAGACGGGAAAAATGGTAATATCGCCCCCTGGTGACACAAACAACACTGGGAAAAAGGCTTGTTAAAAACGTTCAAATTCAGAATGAACATTCATTTTGTTAAGATAGGGATATTTTATGTTTGGTGTTAGGTTTCATCTCAGGTCCAGGCGTAAGCTTACAGCGTGCAGAACAGCTAAGTGCAGACAGCACTGACAAGTGTGATACAGGATTTTGTGCATCTCTCTTCTTGTGTGTCAGACATAATCCATTTTATATTTGAACAAGGGGTTGATTCAGTTGTGACAACACTTGGCTCATATTTTTTGCAGTATGGAGAGTCAAACCAGCTTTGAATCCTAATGCTTTTGGGTTGACTGGGAGCTTAAAAACTGACATGCAGCTCTGTATGAGCTCGAAAACTAACACTTTCATCAAGGACGAGTAGTCTTTATTATGGATAACAACAAAGCAATCAACAGTCAATAACCCAAACCAAATAGCATCACGATAGTGAAGGAACATGGAGGATAAATGACACATAGGGCCAGTAAATGACGTGGTAAAAATGACCAGGGGAATGTTCGGAAGATCCTGTGTACAACATTGCATAATTAACAAAGCACAAAAATACAAAGTAAATATTAACATAAGGCTGTGAAGTATGACAGGCATATCATTTGCATACTGTAACAGTCAAACAAATCTCAAGCGTTTCTGACACATGGGTACAGCTATATTTAGAGAATAAATATCAAAATTATGTATTCCTTCTTGGAGAAAACCGAGGCTAATGTTGAAAACAACCACTTTTAGGTGGGAAGAATATAATTTCAGAAATATTTTATTCATATTTCTCCATAGGCAGTGATCTTCTGCTTTCTCTGTTTCCTAACAAACAATGCAGGCTTGAACCTATACGAACAAACGCAGAGCACATTAAGCAGCTTGAAGATATCTGGTCTGTGTGAATGAAGCTGTGCTGCTGTTTTTTTTCTCCCTGTTCTTTCTCAATCCCCTCAATCTTCAGCTAATTTCCACCAAACCTAAAGGGTCACAATTTCACCGAGTTGCTCCTTTTTCTTGAGTAGTTCCGCATCTCGAGGCAGGAGACCAACTCTTTATCGCTCAGGATCAAGTGCTTGGAGCCCAGTTGGTCTTTAGCCTTCTCTCTGCTCCTCTCCACATCCTGAAGTGAGGGAGCCCACATTGGCTTGTAAACTGAGTCAGGGAAAACCCTTATTGGCCTGAGAGAACATACTGTATTACCCTGTTAAGAATGTTGAATTGGGGATGCATTTTATTTTTCTGGGCAGAAAGTGATGGGAAAGAGTCTGCTGATGAGACAGTTTCCTTATCAAATGACAGCGGGCCCTCGAGCTGCTCAATGGAGGCCTGAATCACCTCAGCAGCCTGTTCTTCTAGGATAAATGTGGTAATTTGGTGCAGCTTTAATATCCCCTTTTCTACAAATATGAGCCTTAATTATGAAATACAATTGAAGGGGTCACTTTGATTAGTCAGATCAAGTCATTGCACCTAGATCTATGTGATGTAAGTAGCCATAGACTAAATTGGAATAAAAAAATTATGTTCATATTGTATATAAAATAAAGGGATCTTTGCCCTCACAGGAATATCTGACTGTTTATTTTGAAGTCTACTGAAAAGGTTCATCGTACTGTGATTGCATTCCCGCTCATACATTTATTTATGTATATATTCATTTTGAACTCTGTTTCCCACCTCTTGAGTCCTCTCTGTGCACAGAAATTGCTTTTTGATATAAAGCTCATCTTATTTATGCAATCATTCTCAAGACTGGATGCTGATTACACACTCAGGCTCAGTGTATCCACTGTACGGGCAGTACAACCAAAACAGAATGCCATGTATTCCCTTACTGTGCATAGTAAAGCAGTTTTGGCCACAATTACAACATTTCAACACAGAGTCATTTGCACTCAGACCGCTGGACCTGCGCTACACTGAGTGCTGCTACACATACACTAATGGAATTATGTCAGAATGCGGTTACAAACCGAGCACTGGCCAACCAAAGCGGTTGGGAGAAGCTTTTTCACCTCTCTCTTGTATCCCCAAACGAGTCCACGTCAGTCTTTTCCTGAACCCTCGTCCAGTCCACTCCATCTCCTGTTGCGTGTTTGTGAAACATATTTGCCAAACTGAAGTGAATCCCAAACCAATTAGTGTGGAGAGAGCGTACGTCACCACCCCCTACTACGATGGAGACACAATGCCAAATGAGCACGGAGGAAACCAGCTCACAAATGAGTTCTCAGTGGACTTTGATATTGGCAAGTATGTATTTTGTTTAATTCACTTCAATCAGACTTGGCTGCCTTTTCCTCACACCCAGTGAAGTGATTTCAAAGAAAATATTTAGGTCCCATCATAATCCAAATCCTACAACCTTCCTATGTGGTCCTTAATCATGTTTGTCCCTATGGACAAACTTAAGAAGGATATGTGTGATGTGATAACCTTCAGTTATTTAGTGCATTTTTTAGGACAGTTAGTCAGTGATGAAGGTGTCCCACAGTTACCAGTTCTTTTATTGCTTATTGCTCATTAAGGAACACTCTTCATTAATAGTAACACTATGCCATGAATTGGCAGTGGGTATGGATAACGAAGTGTTTGTTTTCACAAAAACAAAATCGTGTCTAATAATTAACTGTATAAGAACGACAGTATATTTATGTAACTAAAACATTACCTCCACATATAATCTCACCAGTTACCCATTACTTCACGTTTAACATTTGTTAACATTTCAGATTGTCCTGATGGTGGCACTATGAAAAGGTTCTTCATTCAACAAAATCACTCAGTTACAGAAAATACTGTATAAATGCATAGTGTGTTTATGGGGTTTAAAAGTTTAAAATTTGGCCTCAGGGTAGTGCTTGAAAACAGGCCAAAGGGTTACCAAAATGAACAGGTGTCCTGCTCTTGAGAGAATAAATGCGCACAGAAAATGGTATTCTAATCCTCTCAGTAGTTTAAGATAAACTGGCCACAGACAAACAAACTGATGAAGACACATTGCATCAACGGTGGAGCTAAAACTGTCTGAAACCTGAGTTACTTTATTCTGTCTATTTTGGCAACACCAGGTGATACAGTATATGCTACTCTAAAATAAGTGTAACTGGCTCACATTCAATCTCTTTGTAAATCAGTGGTAGCTAAACACAGGATGATAATACTTCTACAGAACTCCTCTTGCTGATAATCTGATAATTGTTTTTATGCATACCATGGAACTGAATATCTGCCTTTACCATAGATGTTTCCAATGGAGAAGTAAACTAATTGACACTCATTTTTATTATACGGGTTCTCATGTGGTGTAATTTAAGTGAAACTCATTGAGGAGCCCCTGTTTCTGGTGAATCCATGGCGGTTTAGAATAGAAACCTCACCATGTCTGCATTCAATGGCAATTTAATCTCGGATTATTTCTCGGATGCAACAAGGATAACGGAAGTTTCCGGGTTTTTACCAAACGCACCATCCCCAGTCATCACGTGTGTTGGGTGTCCTCCTCGTCCTCTTCTGTTTGCATGTATTCTGTCATGCCCTCTGATATGACTCTCAGGCAGAGTACACTATGTTAGGTTAGGGCGATCCCTCAAGTAAAAACAATAACTACTACTATTAAAGTGCATTTGACCGTTCCATAAAAGTCGTAAATACCATCTGTGAATATCACTAGTTTAATTATACTCACGTTTACAAACTGAGGTGTAAATGTAGATGCTTTTAACACTATGCATTCAGAGAGTGATTAACGTTAAGCAGGAAAATCAGCAAACAGCACTAACTAACCTCCTTTTACTCACTTTTTTTTTGGTTTTTTTGCAGTTTTTGGTCCGTTTTTTGACACACCCCACTCAACAAGGGCCGCCGAACACATCATCTATGCTGCCTGAGAGGCTAACCTCTGGGTACATAAACACACTACCCCATCGCTTCAGTTCAGCAAGGTAGCCTCTTCGAAGCTAAGCTAGCGACCTATCCGGTGTGTGTGCTGTTGCTCCAACCTGCAGCAAACCGCTTCCTAGTTTGGCGTGACACGTAACCAGCTTGCGGTCTTCGTATGATGCCGGTGCCTATTTGATTGTCCGCGCTAGCTAGCTTACTCTGTAACTGTGTGTGAGGGGCGTGAAAGAAGAGGACGGCTTGCCACTGCCCACCAGCAGCAGCTGCTACGGGTAGTCTTGACTACGGCTGCCTCCTGCTGCTAACATAGCTGAAGTTCCTCATCTGTCTGTAGATGAGGTAGTGTGGTGATTTAGCTAGCTAAACACACCCCAAGGCGGTGGGTTCATGTCTGCCTCTCAACCAAGAAACCAACTATTACGAAAAGGAAATCTTGCAGTTCATGTTTCGCCAAGAAGTCGGTGTGACGTCTTTTATTCCATCTTGTTCATATCTTTTCCAACACGAGAAGAGGAATATGTCCAGGTATAACATATACAGCCTGTTGGACTGGATCTACGGCGGGGTGGATCCGAAGTTCGAGGGCAACGGGGGGCCCGAGTGTGCCGCCTTCCTGGCGCCCCAGCAGCGCATCAGCGAAAGTCTGGTCATCGTCCTCGTCTCCCTAGTGGAGATTTGCGTGGCGCTGAAGAAAATAAACCTCTCCAAAGAGCTCAAAGTGGTCGCAAAGGACTGCACGAGGGCAAAGGAGGACAGTCTGATGAAGAACTTGTTGCTGGTTGCCCTTTGCATGACTTTTGGAGTGGAGGTTGGGTTCAAATTCGCGACCAAGACCGTGATATATCTGCTGAACCCCTGCCATGTGATGACCATGGTGCAGGTAAGGAGTGTGAGTGTGTGTGTGTGTGTTTAGACTACGTGCATGTGTGTGCACTCCCAGAATGGGTGGTTAATGTGAAAGCAACGGCCATCACATTTGAAGACTAACTTGTATTTAGCTCCTTTTCTTCCAAACAGACAGAGTTGATTGGCTGTTTATGGTTTATATTGTAATATATGAGTAGACTTTGATGGTACTGGTTCCATCGCCCATTCATTGGTCTGACCTCACCCACCTACAGTATGGTGAAACACCATGTTCCCCCCCCAGGCAGTTATCTAAGTACTTTTTACTTCCTTGCGTCAGGAATCAACAGGCTAAACACGTGGTTATGTTTTTCTTTGACCATCTGATACTACACTTTGTACAGTGTTTACATGGGTTGTTAAGTGTAAAGTATCATAGCCACGACTATTATTAAGAAGAGGAAGGGAAATATGTATATATTAATGTGTTCATTTAAAGGAAAATAACTTGACAGAATAGCAAATGAACAGTAACCACAGTTAAAAAAGGGAACACACAATTTAAAAGAAAATGAAAGTTTGGAGAATTGCAGGGAGCATTCATCTCTTCTGTGTTGGGGAGGTGGTCAAAGCAGAGATAAGACTAGTTGTCTCATGTTCAGCCCATGAGGTATGCAACAGGAGCTGGGCGTAGTCTGTTTTGAAGCCATATGATTGTTTCTGACCGCTTTAAGCTGCTGAGGAGCAGCCCAGTCTGAGCTAAATTCATAACAGTTAGCTAGTTGAGAGTTTGGTTCATGTAACATAGGGATTAAAGTGGGTGACGTTTTTGTTGTGTTTCGTCAAGGTTGAATCAGAGGTTACGGTTCAACACAACACAAAAGTTCTCTCCGCTGCCGTGAAAAAATACAGCACCTGCATGCTTTTCTTTTATGCCCCCTGGTTGGCTGACCTTCATGGTACATGATTGCACACCATGGGTCATGGCAACGGGTCACTGCCAGCGGTGTTTTTAATGCATTTGTCATACACATGCACTGTGGAGAACAAGCAATATTGATGTATTCTGATTACTTCAGATCACATGGCAGCAGTGTGATACCTTGTGGACTGATGAATTGCTTGCCGTGATTAAGAATTGACTGATGGTAGCAAAGTGTCCTTGGTGCATGATGATAAAGGTAAAGATGATCCACAGTAGATATCCCTCATGCATGTTGACACTCGAGTGTGATCAGAAGAGGCAGTTAAAGAAAATAACCGATAAGGTTTAAAAAACAAAACAAAAGAGGTGCACTGAAAGGTAGAAGCTACCAGTTTGTTTTAAATTTTCTATTTCACTTTTGAAACAGGATAACAGGAAGGAGTTGTTTCTGTCAAAGGGATGGCTCTGCGGGCATTGCCTCAAGGAGTGTATTTGTGGCAGGGAAGAGGGCCAGAGGGTTCAGTGAAACAGAAAAATAGGTGGAACGGGAAGTGCGTTATGCGGTCTTACTTTTCAGAATGTGGTGTTTGTGTGCATGATTGTGCAATAGTTGTCCTGCAGAATATCTGACAGCTTAGCAGTGGGAATTATTCTAAGGATGTTTCTTTGTTTGACTGTATGAGTGTGCTTTTTGCAGTATTTTGGTGTTTTTAATCCCTCATCTCATAAAGAAAGCTTGCAAAGAACCTCTACACGCCTTTTTTCCCGTCTCCTTAACAGCTAGGCAAAAAAACAGTGCATTATGAGTTCATTTTATAGGATCCCATAAAGTTCCCTTGGTGCCTAGTGAGATATGCTCTAGTTGTTGCTCTAGTTGAAGTTAACACAGGCCTTGAGTAATCTGCACAGGACTTTTCTTCCTGTGTGTTGTTAAAAAGAATATAACCACCACTTGACTGTGTTGCTATGCTGCAGCAGGTTGCTTGCCCGGCAGTGTCATTATACACCAGCCTGTTTGCTGGAACGATCCACTAGCATTGGTTAAATTCAACATTTTCAAATGGACTAAATATCAGTGGCGATATTATTACTAAACACAGAATACTGATGTTTACTCCAAAGAGAGAAAGAAAGAATGAAAGAGAGATGGTCACAGACTGCACACAAACGCCAACCTCATTTCGTTACCGTGCTGTTTTCTGCCAAAAAAAAAATATATACACACACACACACACACAGTTGAGTTCACGCACATATCAGAAACACCAGCCAAGTGAGCATCACCCAGAACAAGGTGAGAGGGAGAGAGAAAGATAGAGCGCCCCACGGGGGGTGAAGAGTTCACCGTCCGATAACTGACAAGTTGATGCTATACATTTGACAACACAGTTGTCTGTTTCGTTTTCCTCCACATTGACCAAGAGCGGCCACCTCCCCACGCTGACAGACGTCTGACTGATTGCTGACTGATCAATTTACTGTCATGCTTTTTCATGAGTCCAGTGGATGTGGGTGGGGCTCCAAAAAACTAAAAAATCAAATAGCAGATACCACACAGTACAGATGTTATGAACAAATCGAGAGATAGTGTTCTTGTATAATTACTGATAATACAAAAATAAACAGCCACATGTGTTTTCTTGCTTTTCTTTTCTGTGGTGTGGTGGTGGTGTAGTGTCAGGACTCCTCTTCTTATGCCAGGAATAAGATGCTACAGAGGCTATTACTGAAATATTATTACTCAAATGTAATAATCATAATCAGGACTAACTCCACCATCTTTTATAGTTGAATTTGTCATACACTGAGCATGTTCCGGGATGAGAGAATAGGTTAAGGAAATTGAATTTCTCAGCTGTGTCTCAGCGGTGCTTATGGTCAAATGACTCATTACCTCCTACAGGATTCTCCAGTGAGCTGGGTGTTTCCTATAACCCCCGCTGCATTTCTGCAGCAGCTTTGAATGGGTTTAAAAGGAGTTTTGAATACTGCTTGGTTGCACACTGCAGCAATGACAATAAAGACTCTGTGTCTATGCTCCATAGGTTGAGAGCTTGCCTGTGAATTGAAGTGCCAAGCCGTTAACAAGTGTGAAACAAATATTTACAGTTTAACGGATTACAGTATCAGCATTATCTTTAAATACAGCCACATTCATCAGCTGTAGCAATAACATCCAGCAGATCAGATTATCGACTCCATCTTTCAGATGTCGCTGAACGCACTATACTGTATTACTCAGTGACTACACATGCAAACAGGAGGTATGGCATATCAGTAATGACTTATGTCAATCTATCAATAGGCCATTGAGCTTTTCTTTTTCAGCAGTTTTCCATTACAGCTCGAAAGATCATTATACAATCAGTGCTGTACCTTTTACATTTGATTTGCTCTGCAACAATGCATTGGGTTATGTTTGCACTGTATAAGTATGTTGTGAAGGTAGCCTCAGATTGACCATAACATATCCAACATTACCCACTATAAACAAACCACGTCAGCCTGAACTGTTCATTTTCTGTTCCAGTCTTTTATTAGTTGTCTACCACAAGGTTCCTACGCAATAAGGAAAAGTATGGAATTTGATTTAAGTAATTTTCAGGTATGGAAAAATATTTGTGTTTTGTGTGTGAGAATGAGAATTTAAAAAAAATTAATTGATCACACAAGCAGAGTGTTTTTTCGTAGCGTTTGAAGCGGGCAGCCACAATGTCTACCACTGTGCGAGGGAGCGCGGTCCAGAGCGAGCTTGATGTCGTCGAAAGCAAAGTAAGAAGTATGGCTATGCAGAGCTGCCTCTGAATCTGCAGGTCCCAGCCCAACAGCTCTGCTCCAAGTGCCTTACGCTGCGCTCCAGTTGAAGACTCCAACTTCCGACCTCCAAGCGTTCCAGGTGCACCACGCCAAACAAAAAACATGGCTGACTGTGACAAACTGATGTTTCTTGTGTGTGCACAAGGAGAGCCGTTTTAATGAAAACGAGTGACATAAATATATGTTACTGTTAACTGTTTCAGTCTAGCTACATCGGTTGGCAATCTGCAAAAGTCAGTAAATGTTGTGTATTTCCTAATGTTTTCACATTTTATGGTTTTCCTGAATAACTCTAAGAGAAGATGACTTTCAGAGCCTGTTACTATAAATAGCTACCTAATAATATAGGCAACTTATTTAGATGTCAATTAAAAAATCTAAAAACAAAAACACACGCAGAATTTACATGCAGAGCAGGTTTTACTATATGATTGTATGTCATACTCTAATGAAATACAGGCAAATATACTTTAAGTTGCCTTTTAGTATATGGTTTATCAATTTAATAATTAACACCTAGGGCATCCCTGAGAGTTCAGGGGCAAGTTCAATCTCAAAATGTTTTGCAAAGTTTTCGGATTGAACAACATGTTTCCTTGAAACGCTGTGAAACATTGTGAACGGACTTCGAGGTATGTTTTCTCACGTTTGGTGGTCGTGTCACAGGTGTTACCCAATCAGCTGCGACAAGTTTGTAAACACAATGGTGTTAAAAAGGCTGGAAAATGCAGTGCGTTTGCGTACACAACAGGGTGTTCAAGGAACCACTGTTTCCGTGGGGGGAAAAAAACCCTGTTTTGCTACGTTTCGTCGGCTCTGAACTCGCCCCTGTTGAATACCACAGAAAGATCAGTTTGTCACAGTCAGCCATGTTTTTTGTATACGTTTACAAAGCAATTTCAACCAGGTTACCCACTGGGTATGGATCTCACTAGCCCAGGATTAGTAAAGTAGTACCTAGCTATAATCTTCTGTCAATTATTTGGCAACATAATAGCATACATAGTCAGAATGTAACATCCATATTAACAGTTGGACTTTTTGGAGAAGAATGGAATTTTGATACGGAAAATGTGCAGCAACCATGCTTGCAGTATTTTTCTGGAGGCTGAAGATAAACACACAGTGTTTGTGCCCCGGAGGAAAGGGGACACCGGAGCTCGACCCTCATGATGAGCAACCTGAGGGAATCCATGGAGTTGGAGGGGGACACAGATATGGAAGTAGCACCAGATGGCTCAGGTACATCATTTGTATTCTCTTGTTTGAAAAGAGAGTAAATCAAATGGATTCAAGTTGTGTTTAAACATTAATTTACACCAACAAATGAGCCATGTTCTATTGTTTTTAGCCGCTTCGTGTTCCAACGGGGTCGACAGTGCTGCAGCTGAGCAGGAGCTGAGTGCGGCCAGCAGTCTCCACTGCATCTCAACCCTCCAGCGGCCGGGTTGATGCAACCTAGACCTGCAGACCTACAAACGCAAAGAGACTCCATGTATTCATTTAACGAGGCTGCAAAGAAATAAGAATTCTTTTATGTGACATAAGCTGTACACTGAAAGATTAACTTAATAAATAGTGTTATATTTTCCCATACCTGGTGTTTTTACAAGCAACGCATCACATCCACACACGGGCACACGCTGTTTGTCTCAAATGCCCGGGGAGAGGGT